ACAATACACAGTTGTATCCTGGTTGTGGTTCATTGGTCCTGACATCCTGGTTGTGGTTCATTCGGAGTCGTTGTGGGAAACTTCACGGGAAATCAGAAAAGTTGCGGGGCTAGTGGGTTTTCTCCTGAGAACCCTCGAAAGCATTGGAAAAAACCCAGATATCGATTCCCATGGATTCAGTTAGCATATTCTTGCAGTAGGTTGTGATACAAGAACCACAACCAGGATGTTATATAGATTTATTCGACTAAAGTTTCGGCCCTTTCCTCTAGGTGATCATAACTTCATGAGCTACAGTAAATCTGGAAGATTATTGCTTTCAAACTTTCTTTGAAAAAAATTTTGGCACTGCTCGCCTTTCACTGCCCCACTCGAGATAGTTTGACCCCCTGAAGACGAGAATCACATCCGCTTTGCTCGAAATCGTCTCGCTATCGCACCATAGGCATCGAAAAAAACACTGCAAACAAATTTGCTAAACTTGCATTAGTTCAGAGGGTAGCTTGATTTCTGAACACGAATGTCATCTCAGCTTAACGCGAAAACGTGTGATATGTGCATTGGCGTAAGAAAAAACCGTTTTATGGCACCGCCAACTGGGACGCGGGTCGCGTGCATTCTCGCTACGAGCGGATGTAATATTTGCGATCAGGGGGTCGAACTACATTCATAGAGAAAGTCTTGCCCGAATCTACCGTAGTGACGTGAGTTTCGTGGAGTAGAGCAGGAAGAGCGAATAGCGCCAGGTAATTCAAAAGCAAGTTATTGCGTGATCAGATTCATCCTTGAAGTTTTCATTCAGGTCACTGTCTTGAACGAGAGCGTTGACGGCCAGGGAAAACTGGTTTTTAAGCCGATGGACAGAAGATTGGACAGGTTTGTGGTGTATTTGGTCTCGCAGTGATTACTGTAATTACTGTAGTTAGGACTTCAACAGATTACGGTGACGCCTCAGTTGTGGTGGAGAATGGTAAAACTAAATAAAATTTAATCTATCCTTTGATTTCGAGGAATTCTTTCAAAAAAGTACATCTAGCGGAACACTTCCTTAGCTGTCTGGATATTCAGTCATGAATTTGATCGCTTGAAAGTGCGGCTGCTGCCCTACTTGTTCTGATAAGACCAGAGCACATCATTTTTGTGGAAATCAGAATGGGGGAGGAAGTCGCTCCACGTTTTTTTTGCGGTTTTCCCCGCTCTGAAAGCGCTGTATACCACCGCCTTCCCTCGGTCCTATTTAAGGGCAAATTATGGAGAATTTTCGGGAAGAAGGAGAATGAGCCGCGAAAAGAAGTTGTACTGTAGGAGGAGAGTTTGTTGGAGGGCAGGGTACAGCATCGTTGTGCGAACGACATTTCAGTTGATAGTGGGAGTGGAGCCATGGAAGTCAAGGCTGTTTAAAAAAACATTAAAATTGTTATGAGTGTATCTTTAGAGATTGAAACTGCTCGTTAACAAGCCCGCGGTTCAAAAATCCCCAAAACTATTAACGCGCCGTTCGTGCTTAGCGCGGGGGACACGGAGTATTGCAAAAGTAGCTCGCTAGGCATCAAACCGTACAAAAGTGTCATTGCTAAGTTTGATGGAAGGAACGGGAAAGCTGCAGAAGACCGGGATGTAAATAGGACTACAAAATATTAAAAATCTTTAGCATTCATAGCAAGAAATATAAAGAATAAAACAAATAAATTAAAATAAAATAAATAACATAAATAAGATGTCAGTTGATAGCATGAAGTCGTAAATGCCGGAAGATGACTGAATAATACGCTAAAACACAGATTCGTGCGTATTGTCCTTTCCAAACCCTAAACAAACATCTGCTTGCATGGATAAAAGCACCTCAAATTAGAATTTATACCTTTCCATCACCTCTGCGTAGGAGAGTAATGCACGGCGCACGCTCGGACCAAATCGATCAGTGATAGCCGAGCTCCTCTTTCACTCATTTGAAGGGAAATATGTGTTTTGGAGTTTTCGAAGGTGTATCCTCACAATGGCACAGAAGGAGTCGATTTTTCGGGTGGGTCAGAGGGTAGCGCGTCTGTGACCCATCTAAAATATCTCCTGAACTAGTGGGTCTTCAGAAAAACTGTAAAGCTTATTGGAAAGAAAAGATAGGGCGGTTTCAAGACTATTTCAATCCTGATGAAATTGCGTTCGAAATAGAGTAAATCCTCGGATTGAAGCAGAAAAACGCCGAGCTTGCCTTTACCCCTAGCCTATCCAAAACCCATCCGGAATATTTCACCAACGGGGGATTGTTCAGTTTGCAACTAGGTAGAATACACAACAGTAGAAACTTCGCCGTTGCATGCTGCTCACCATTCCTCAAAAGCCTCCTCGTACCTAAAAGAGATATAAGCTCCTGAAAAGACCCCAGGACGCTGACTTTCGAGTTACCGCGCTCCAATGACGTTTTTGCAGCGAAAGCGGTTGCGACCTTGCGATCGATAATAGCATAGTACGGATTTTCATGGCCGCCTTTTATCCTTTTTCTCATTTGGCTCCGCATTTTTTTTATTTTTCATGTTTCGCTTTGTTGTGTCGTTCATGTTTTATGATTTCCCGTCACCATTCATTGAATGCACATCTGAGGCCTGACACGCTGACACCAGTTTAGCTCATTAACGATCACCATTAGTCGCTGTTTCGATTGTTCCTTCTTACAAGTTGCATGTCATACATGGTTATCGAACGAGGAGTTTTATTTTGAATCCTAAGACAAAATTGTAGGTAATGCGAGGCTGTTGTTCAGCCTCATATTGCATGAGGCTGAAACAGCCTCTTATTGCCTGGATTTAAGAGCAGAGTCCGCCTTTCGAAAATCCAGATTCCATTTCAGGGGGCGAAAAAGGCCGGGGCCATGAGCTGGGTGAACATGCATCTGGTTTTCAGTTAGAGCAGGAGGGGGGGGGGTCGTATCTGGACCCTCTTCGAGGGGGGGGGTCGTACTCACACCGCCATTTCGCACATCCCCATGCTGTACCCTGTTGGAGGGTCACATACTGCTCACATTTTCCACAATAGGCGATTGCGTGGCCTGTCCAGAACCTCAGTTCGAGTGGCAAGTGCCGTGCGAAAACGATTGCTTCCTGAATGAAGAGATTACGTTGAGACAACATCACTCGACACATCTGGAGATGACGGTAGAAGTTACGCTGCAAGGACCAGGAAATATGATGACGCACGGAGCTTGAGCTTTGCTCGTTGGTATTAAAGGCAAAGGGCACGACAAATCCCCTGGGCTTTAAGATAAAACGTCAAGACATCAAAGAATCTCACGCCTCTTGAAGGAACCTTGCAATGTCTTTCCCAGTGGTGAAGAAATGGTTTTTAAAGCATCCTAGCGGAGCTAAACAAAGCAATCCGAACTCCTTCCGAGAACGACTCAAATGCCGCAACGATAGTAATTAATTACCATCGGTTCAGCTGTTTTTACCCACAATATGCGGCTGAATGGCGCTTTTTTCCCTTCTTTAGAAATCTTTTTGAAGAGGTAAGTCTTACTGAGACAACGCGCGAGGGTTTCTCGCAAGCAGCGCCTGTTTTGTAGATTTAGACTTGTTTTACTTTTTTGGCATTTTACTGCTTGGTTCCCGCGAATCTTCGGCAGATGCTTCATGAAAATGTCACTAGTATGTCCCTGCTTCTGATGAGGACCCCTGTTGATATTGTCGTGAAGTTTGTCACTGCTTGAAATAATGTGTTTTCATGTTTACTGTGCGGTCATCGTGGTTTTTTCCCATTGATATTTGACCAGCGATGATTCATCTTGTGCATAGACAGGAACACTTCCTCATTAGAGCGGTAATGAGGGCCGTATTTTGGGAATTTCGAGGCATATCGTCCCATTTTTGCCTTACTGTCGAACTACAGAGTGCCTATGCTTCCGTTTTCTGAAGAGAACCACATTATGGTGCCCACTGCCTTTAAAGGGTGAATTTTTAACAGTCGTCGCCTTCACAATCTGTGAAGGCGACGACTGTTAAAACAAAGACATTATAAGGTCTTATAATGTACAGGAGCTGTATAATACCATGAGCTGAATGTACTATTGAAGAGGATCCAACTCTGTAATTAAGAAGCGGACAACATGATCACTGATCATGTTGTTCCAAATTGATTTCTCATCACAGGGCATTGCAAGAGTTGGAGTACTAAAATGGCTTCCTTCTGAAGTTGTAGACATCAAGAATGTAAAGGAAAACTATGTGGCGAAATGTTTCATGAGTAGAACAGAGGGATAGAACTACTAAATACCGCTTAAAGACAAACTGTGCACCCGACTCTGTGAATCGTGGTCCTTGCCATGTGTGAGGAGAATGGGTCCGCAGCTGCAGTAGCGCCCCACTTCCTCCTGTCAAAGTGCATGGAACAGGGTTGTAGGATAGTTGGACCTGGCTGCTTTGGCTCCTGCACCCGCATCACGACTGTCAGCACTCAAACACCTCGGAACACCAGCGTCGTTAGAAACTTGTTTCCAGATTTCGAGCCCTTGAACACGAGTAACGGCAGTTGGCACGAAAAATCTCTAAGATGTGTGGACTAATACGCCTAGGCAGGATTGCATTTGGCGCCCTGAGTGAGCGCTGTGTGGTGCTTTTTCCAAGAAAGGTACCCTTATAGCGCCCTATCAAGCTACAACGTCCCGACCTGAATGTGGCTGACGGCGTATAGACGCGCTCACTTTGGTTTGCGACTCACTTATTAACAGTGTCTAGATCACCAATTCCGCTGAAAATTTGCATACAGTTTATTGAGCATCCTGGTTACGAATATGGCATTCATTCTTGGCGCTAGCGCTAGTGGAGGACACTACGATTATCTTCTGGGCTCAGCCTTAGCAGAGTGCAGATAATCATACTGTTCTCCATTAGCGCCAGCGCCAAGAATGAATGTCGTATTCGTAATCAGGATGTTAAATTACTACGGTATGACAGTTTTCAGCGGATTTGGTGCTCTAGGCACTTCACAAATGAGCCGGCAGCTGAAAGTGAGCGCGTCAAACGGCATCAGTACCCGGATGCCCACCGCGCCCGCCAGCCTATAAACGTCCGACCGATCTTTATGCTCTATCGCTTCACTTGCGAAGTACAATACGAATTGATTGATATGAAGCGGCAGTGATGGAGCATGGATATATGAGTACATACATGCAGCCGTATCTACCGTAGCGGTTATGGCACGATGCCAACGGGAACTCGTCCGAAATTGCTTTCTGAGTCGTGTAGAACAAAGGCTTTTTTGCAGGTTTTGACCGTTTCACTTCGCTTTTTCGCCACTTTCTCCACTATTAGCACCCTGCCACCATTTTGGACAGAGTACCAAATTACCGTGCCAACTGCGCTTCAGGAGCTGGTGCCAAGATCATTTGCAGCGCTCGCGGCCACTGCAAATGTTCTTGGCACCAGCTCCTGCAGTGCACGCCTGCCACTTTCGTTTCGAGCGAATTTATGATTTTCATGTCCAGGGGTCAAACTATCATCATTAATGAGGTTTTGGTCAAATGTACCTCAGAAAAATACTTTGAGTGAAATCTGGCCTGAATTTCGGAAAATGGAGCAATAACGATGAAGTCACTAAATGTCTTCTCATAAGCGTTCTTGCGCTTATTGGAAGTATTGAGGTCTTTTTTCTGCAGGACTGACTTCGTGATGAGTGATTGCGATGAAGAGCTGTTGTTCAACATACCATTCACGGGTCAAGTACGTGTCAGCGGTCTGTCAGTGATTGGTGACGACGATGGGAGCCATCCGGCGAGAATTCGAATTTTCAAAGATCGACCCGCGGTATGTGAGGATTTCTGCTATTTGAAAGCACTTACGTAAAGCTTTACGGTCAAGTTCACAGTAAACGTATGAGCTGATAGGCTGACTCTCTGCTTGAAACTCTTAAGGAGATAATTCCATGTTCAATCTTCTCAGAACCTCGGTATTTGTACTTCTTAAAACATGGGTATTTGTAAAATATATTTATTACATTCCTGTGCCAACCAGGTTAGTTACAGTGGAACCACTTTTACTTATCAGATCATTTTCATCAAGGACAGGAAATAGTCTAAAGCTGTTATTTTTATTAGCAATTTTGCATTACATCAAGCAAGGGCACTCTTTTGTTGAGGAATCCCCAACAGAAGGAGGGGGGTCGTATTTGTAGCGAGAAAATTTATTTTTTAGTTGATTTTGCTTGCTACGGACGTCTTTAAAAGGCGCGGGGGGGGGGTTCGATATTGAGTTTCTGATCCTCTAGGCAGCGGTGGGAGATGGTGGCTGACTTTTCGTGATTTTCTGTTTGTATGGTAAATATAAAGGCCGGCTCGCCCCTTTCTCCCCCCCGCTCGACGGCTCGTTCAGAATGAGGAGAGACAGAGGGCCAGGTGTTGGGGTAGGTTGTACCACCCCCACCCCCGCCAAAAAACGTGGGGGGGGGGTCGTACGGACTCGACCAAAATCCCCAACCAATGATGTGTCCTGCATCAAGCGCCATTAATTGCCCTAGACTGCTTGCGACTTTTCCCATGTATAGAAACGATATACTAAGAAAAGAAAACAGCTCTAGGCTACGTCTACGCCCCACATGGTGCTCGAGTGATTAAATTAAGCGTTGGGTAATACCTTGCATAAGCTTTTTGAGCGTACAATAGCGTTTTGAGCGTCTCAAGAGAACGCCGATGTTTTGAACGTTTCGAGTGACGGGAGGTATAAGTATCAATCTAGCTTTCGGAGCGTACGCCGTAGTGTTGAGCGTATTGGGTTAGGTTTAAACTTTTGGCGGGCAGTCACCAAAGCTCGCGAAGTATGAACGCAGCCAAACGCTGCTGTACGCTGGCGTACGCTCAAAACGCTTGCGAGCGTTGGTGTACGCTAGATCGGTACCTATATTACACTAGTCGATCTGAACATAAAGCGCTGCCGTACGCTTAGAACGCTCAAAACGCTGCCGTACACTCAAAACCCCGATGCAAACTATGAACGCAGCCTAAGAGCACCGAGCGATGCGAGCGATAACGCTCCACCTCTAATAACTGACCCGCTACAGCTCTCGAAAAGCGTCCTAGGACAACTAATCCGTTTTTTTCTCTGCGTCTCGCTCTCGGGGCCAGCACAGACGGGAGAGCGCGCTGCTGTGAGGCACGCAGAGTGACTCATCAGCTCAAAGAACGGTCGTCCCACCTCGACCGTGAGCAGGGTGACTTCGAGAAAAACGGTGAGGTATAAGCTAAGTAGAAACTGAAGATAACGTAGGTGTTAGCATATACATTGAGAAAAATGTGTACTGGATCAAAATGGATGAGGAAAATCATATCTGCTATTCAAAACACTACGCTTATGGTCAGGGTGAGTTCGTTATGATCCATACACCACACTGATCCGACACACTGAGATGCATTTCACCTAAGCATAATCATGTGAACTTAGAAAAGAGTAGTTTTTTTCCGCTGCGAGCTTCTGAGAATTCCAAAAGGGGCGAAAGATGTTCTACGAAATCACCAAGAACTTGACGATGGAAGCCTTCAGTTTTTCGTATTAAAATTCGGGTTTTTTTGGACACGTTTTCGTCCGTACTGATTCTGTCAGCCTATGTGACGCCAAGAAAGCAAACTTTGTAGGAATGCAATCAGGGATCTAGGGGTTCGAAGCTTATTACTACACTTCACCCTTTCTTTAACCTTCAGAGGCCACTAGTAATTCACTAGTACCACCGTTCCCACTATTAAGTCACCTGTGATCCCAAAAATAAACCGGCCGTTATCGTCTACCGATCCGCGTGGGAGAGAACGAGAGGGTATCGACGGCTAGAGGAAATTTGCTGTCTCGCCGTATCAAAAGGATTAGATGTCACACAATCCTCGAAAAGTTCTGCTTCAATTATGTTGGTAGCAGCAATGGTCCAATGATGAGCGGAGGAGCGCTGTCGGTCGCAGTCGCAGCTGAAGCGTTCTGGTTGCGATGTGTGAGCCGAGTCTCAGCGGTTCCATCAGCATCGAATCACCGCCTGGTAAACGAATCGGCGATAAGCGAAACACCATAGACATTGGAGAAGTCTTTACGTGATATGCCATTTGTGCC